TTAAAAAAGGACACAATTTATGAAATCACATGTGATTTATTGTTCTGATTTTCACAGGTTGCCATTTTCATCAAGCAAGACAAGAGCTAAACCTGGGTATGCCAGTACATCCCTTTAAATATTACAGCGTGAAACGAAAATAACAAGAATTTATCCTTCTTTCATGTGAATATTTGATTGTAACAATAATGTATACCCCAATTAAAAATCTTGTAATAATACATACCCTCATAAAAAAACTTTTAATAAATACATTACCATTACCTTAAATCTTTAATAGTACATTACCTACCAAATGTTCTTTTTGAATCAATAGTGTTTTGTAAAAAGAATAGTTGACATTAACCCTTCAAATATACCCTGATCAAAAATCTTGTCACAATACATACTCTGATCGAAAATTTTGTTTATATATTGTTTGATTATAGCAAAAGGGTACATCTTTAATTCATTTAGTAATACTTTCTCACATGAGCTTTAAAGAAATCTTGAAATATAATAACATGAAACTCTGGCAATTATTTATTATTACTTGCAAATCTAGACAAACATGGAACAACTAAGCCTAAAAAGTTACAGATTTTCTTCTTCCCATTCTACCCTAAAGGTTAGTGTGTAATTCAATCATTAAACTACACAACTTTTCAATTTTTTCCTTTACATTTCACTAGCAAACCAAAGGGTATAAGCGGAATTACACCAATGCCCCTCTAATATATATCCATCCTCCTTCCTTATTGGGATTGTACTTGTACCCACTCATATCGTCCTCCAATCGGCTTTTCATTCACTATGTCAAAGTTGTACCTTCATAAACATCAGAAAAAAAAATATTTATAGCCAATAAATAAAGAGCTAAATGCATAAAATAGCAACTTACTTTATTTATCAAAAACTGTTTTTTGAAAGTATGTTGCTATTTCTTGAATTTAAAAATTAGGGTTAAGAAGATAATGTGTACTTGTCAGCAAACCGTCTTTGTTGTTCCTGGTCATGACGGGTAAAGAACTCCTCAATCTCCTGTGCCAAAGGCATTGAATTCTGGGATATTCTAGAAGCTTCTAGATTCATGGATCGTGTGCTAGAACCAGGGGTATAAATGTCATATATGTCTTTTATCAAGCTACAAGGAGTGCTTTCTCGGGTGCTCCTGTAATTGGTAAACAAACCATCATTTTCAAAACAAAAAATTAACACCATGTTTGACTATTTGTCAAATATAGCATCCATTTGACCATTTGTTGTAATAAAGATAATGGGAAAATTCGTAATAATAGCTAGATATTATGGCAAGTCATGGATTTGAAAGGACCAATTTATGCACTAATATGACAAAATGAATTCAGGGGAGACATTTAAAAACTTTACTTTTTTATTTTATTATTATCTTACATTACTACAAAAATAAATTCAGGGTATGGAAAGTGGACCATATAGGCTGGTTTTTTCAACAAGATTACAATTTTAATTGAGGGTGGGTGTGGGTCACATACCATATCTATGATGAAGAAGTTTTATTTTATTTTTTATAAAAAAAAATATGACAGTGGAAGTTAAACATCCAAATATCCAATTATTGTCCTTTGTTTCTGTACTATTCACTAACATATGAAAAAAAAAAAATCAACTTATGTGGCCCCCTCCTTCATGAATGCTATTAAAGTCGATGTTTGTGTATGCCTCTAAAGTCTAAACTAGTAAACCAAAAGTTGGACAAAAACTGGTTACTATTTTTGTTCATGGAAGTAAATAAGAAGTTTTTATAACTTATAAGAAAACTGATACAGAAGTAAATGTAAATACTATTTACTACCTGAACGAACTTAAACAGCTAATTATCTGATTCTCTGATTATTCAAGTCACAATAATCACTTAAAAAAATACATATCCAAACACCCATAAAACAGCATAGAACATTCTAATCTTAAAAAAAGACTGAATCTTTCCTAATAACACACAAGAACTAGACCTATCAAAGAAGATAGCTTGATATGGAAAGAGAAAACAGTTCATAATAAATGGGACCATGTGGGTCTCATAATATCTGAGTAACGCCTCTGATTATTTAATACAGGGTAACATTTCTGATTTCACCACCTATTTATAAAAAATAAAATAAATAAAAAAGAAGCTAGAGGCCTATTAAAGGAAGTCTTTTTCACCACTCACTATCCAATTTTGTAGTTTTGTGTAGTGTAAAGTTAAAGATTTTAATAGAAAACCATAATGGCTGTGGTTATCCTATGTTGGAAAACATGGGTCCACTCCACTACTGTAATAAGTGATTGTGATCGGTTATCATTTATCATCATTAGTGATTTTGGTTTAATGTTCATATTATAAAAAGAAATAACGTCAAATCTTGGCTTTATTGATAATGAATAAAAATAGATAAGGGATGATGAGAAAACATCTTATCTGTCTATAGGCCCACTAAATCAAAATTCAAAGCTTAGATCATTTCACTTTGTATTTTACCTTATCAATTATTTTAGCATGTTTTTCACCAAGATTTTCAACTTATATTTGAGAAAAAGAAAATCAAGAAACACAAACTGAAAAGAAGTCGTGTTATGGAAAATACATAGGGTGGTCATGAAGACACGTTTACTAGCATATTTGTCTTAGATGAAAGAAAGGAAAGTGGTACCCCACATGATGAAATGGAAAATGGGAAGAAGCCCTTTCTCAACATAAGAACATGAAAGTGTCTCCAAATGGATTTTTTTTACAAATATCCACTCCAAAAGAGAAGAAAGAACACTAATAATTCCAAAATAAATCAAGCACATTGAAATTTAGAGTGAAAACAACCCCTATTTCTTATTTTTGTCAAGCATGTACCAAATTAAGACTAGAAAACAATCATATAGCAATTATACAAACACATATAGCGAAATATACAATCTATAAATCCAGTGTGCTTCATATGATAAAAAAACCAGCAATTTAAAAAAAAAAAAAAGAGGAAGTAAAATGAAGGTTGAAATTCCATATATTTGTTCATATAATCACGAAATAACAAAACTAAGTATCAATTATTGCAAAAATATCTAAAAGCCAGAGCATTTTCGTGTAAAAGGAAGTTGTAACCAAAGGGCTTCCGGTCCAGCTACGGCTGGTGTTGCCCTCAAGTTAAGGTTTCAAGTCCGGATTTAAGTTGGAGTTTAGGAGTAGATTAGATTTGCAGTTTAAAAAAAAAATTGTAATTTTGATATAAACTTTAAGGAAGTATACCTTTCTCTGCCATCAAAATCAATATTATTTTCTCCAAAATGACAAGACTCCTCTGTTTCTTCACCTGCTTTAATTTGAGTGTCTAATGAACCCGACCCGACAGAACCAGAAACACCTGAAGAAATCGTGAGAAGATTAGGGTTAGGGTTTTGTTGCCTGCAGCATGTTAGTTGTTGAAACGGTGGTTTCTCTAGCCGCCGGCTGCGTAGCTGGAGATAAGACAATTCACTGTCTTGTTCCGCCGCTGGCGACTCTGGCGGTGTTGCAGTTGATTTCGTAGCTCGAAGTTTCTGCAACGCTAGGGTTTTGGCTCGCGTTCGGACGCCAAGAGACGACTGCGAAACATCCATTACAGCCACCACGTCTCCGGTCAAATTAGCTTTCCTCATGTACCTTCCCATCACTTAATTCTCACTTCACTGATGCTCTATTTTTATTACCATAAAACACAACCTCGTAAATTCTTCAAGGCGTTGAATATGGAGAGAGGTGAAGAAAAAGATGGTGTTTGAGAGAGAGAGAGAGGTTTGAAATGGGGGGAAAGATTTGTATGTATAAAGTTAGGGTTGGCGTCAAGATCAACAGCAACTTTGAGAGTATATGTAGTATACCTTTTCTCTCCTTGTTAAATATTACTTTAAAAATATATTGTTAGAATATAGTTTTTAGACACTTCTTATTTATCAATTTAGGTTTTTTTATTATTATTTTATCTAATGTTTTCCTTTTAACTATGTTTAAAAATATATATTGAATTTTATTAAATGTTATTTGATATTTTACTTTAGGTTTTAAATTTTACACTAAATTTTTAAGCTTATTTGATATATTAATATAGGTTATTTATTTAATTATATATTGAAGTTAACAAATTAAGTATATCATATTGATAAGTCACAAATTCTTCCGTTTATAATAATGTTTACAACTAAAAGCATATTTAAGTTAATAAATTAAACATATTGTATAGAAATATGAAAAGTTGAGAGTTTCAAATGAATGTGGTGAAAGAAAAAATGTTTCATTTATAATATAGTATGACATGATGATTATAGTTTTAATTTTTAAGTCATTGTGATATATACAATTATTTGATAATTTTATAAACCGTTTAAAATTGTGTAAATTATATATCAAACGTATGATAATCTATATATAACGGGTAACAAAATGTATGAACAAAAATATGAACTACAACTTTTAGTAACATAAAAATACAAAAACATCTATTATAACATTTGTATTAAAAATATATATATATACAACGAATAATACAAAATATGAAAAATAAACATTACAACTTTTAATAACATAAAAACACTAAAACATTTATTATAACATTTATATTAACTTTTCATATTTAAATCACAAATCTCTTCAAATACATTAATGTTTTTAACGAGCAAAACTTTACAACCTTATAAAAGAAAGGAAAAATAAAAAGTTATTAGTGATTACTAATTAATAATCATAAGTTAAAAACTCTTGAGTTGTAACTAATAAATATACATAAATTAGAAAACTCTTGAGTTGTAGTGTGAGTTTAAAATGAATACGGTACTTGGAAATGTGTATTTATTATTATTATTATTATTATTATTATTATTATTATTATTATCATTATTATTATCATTATTATATTCGTCTAAATAATTGGTTTTGATGCATCATTTTAATCCCTTCAATTATTAAACATAAAAATATTTAATTATAAATTTATAACATACATAGGTGCATATATATGTTAAACAAATCACATATAATATATATATTTTCGTAAATGTCATATGTAATTCTTGTCGTAGTAATATGGATAAATTACTTTCATATGATGAACATATCATGATAAGTCATCATAATTACATATCAAATGTTAAAAATTATGTTATCTTTTAAATATTGTCTTGTAAATATGTTGTGTAGGATAACCCAACAAAAAAAATAATAGAAAATAAACATAATCAAAAAAGAAAAACTACAATCAAATAAATAAGAACATTGGATGGTTGAATATATAAATAAAAATGTTACATAAATATACGTTTAAATCAAAAGAAAAAACTAACATTCGTCTACTTTTGCTCAAACAAAAAAAAACTATATCCGTTTTCTGAATCTTCTTTCTTTATTTAACACCATTCAACCATAGAAAACTTGATGACAATTCTTCACTAACCTGCAATCAAAATGTTGTTCTTGAAAAAGAAGAATGAGAAAGATATTCCAAGCAAAACATTGATGTTTGGAGAGTCATGTTAAAGATTGAGTAATACATACAAATAACATATAAAGATCAAATGAGAAATTGAATATAAAGAAAGAATAGAAAAACTTCATTTGTTTTGGTTGAAAGAAAAAATCATATTACAATTACCATCGATACGACATAACCCATTTCTTCAAATCATCATATTTGGATCGTGAATGCTTCAACTATATGAAAACTTTTGAATCATAATATCTTCAACAAAATGACGACTTTTAGTAAGAAAAATGTACTAATATAACTACATATATAATGAAGGTGAAAGGGTGTGGGGTTTCAAATGCATGAGGTGTTGAACTTATAGAGTGTGTGATTTTCTTGGAATGGGATTATGTGTGATTAATTACTTTGAAGGTGAAAGGGTGTGGGGGTTTCAAATGCATGAGGTGTTGGCAAATTTTTATGGGGGTTTCAAATGCATGAGATTCAAGAAAAAATGCTAGCTTTATAAGTATGTATGATATGATGATTGGGTTTATGTTCTGCTCCAAATTTATTTTTTGTTTTTTCACTTGTTATATTTTAGCAAAAAGTTTCATTTTTGGGCGCTTGGTCGGTCACGAATAGGTCATGATGATATGTCAATTTTGTATTTTTTTCAATTCATATTTAGCCCTAATATTTACGTATGTATTTGCATTTAGCCCCAATATTTTTTTCTCATTTGTTATTATTTTTACAAAAATTTCATTTTAGTTGTTGGCTAGTCACAGATAGATATTTTAAAACGTAATAATTTAAAATGAAAAAGGAAAAAACGAAGGCAAGAGTCGTAACTACGACTTATCTTTAATTTGCGTGGCGTGTTAGCCAATAAGCCAATGACTCCTATTTTTGTATTATCAGTGTTTGTTGTATTTAATATACACATGCATTTTAAAATGAAGGAAAAATACCTATTGTAAGTATTGAGTCTGATACATCTAATAAATGATGTGACATGTTAATCTTTGAGCAACAAAAAAAATCATTTTATGGTTTCTCAATAAATATGTCATTATAAATATTTGGTTTCTCAACAAATATATCAGCAGAATTAACCAATTGTTTCTTAGATGAGTTACAAATGAATTAACAATTTTGATTTGCTTAAATATTAGCATGTCATATATTAGATGTCACGAACTCAAGACTTAAACTAGGTTTTTTTCCTTCATTTTAAAATGCATGTATATATTAAATACAACAAACACTAATAATACAATCAAGGATAAGTCGTATTTACGACTCTTACCTTCGTTTTTTTTGTAACATCTCGATATTGAGGTATTTCATTTTAAACCCTAAGTATGAGAATTTATTTCATTTCATACCTTGGATGTGAATTAATTGTTAAATTGGACCCAAATGGCATTTTCGTAATTTTTGGGAGCTGGGCACGAACATTGGGCGTAAGTGGCCAAAGTGCAAACCCTATTTTTAGGGTTTGGGCCCTATTTAAGCATCATTATGGACCCAATACCTTTCCCCTCATCATCCTCCATACCCTAGAAGATATCCCACGAAACCTTAACCCTCTTTTGAGTGTTCTTGAGCCTTATAGTGATCTTTTGGTGCTTTTTGGGTGGTTTTTGGTGGTGAAGGGAGTTCCTTAAAGATAGAATGGTTCATTCAAGTCCTTGGATCCAGATTATACACCTTCCTGTGCATCTGTAGGAGGTATCAAGTTCACACATGGTCCATTCAAGTCCTTGGATCCAGATTCTACACCTTCCTGTGCATCTGTAGGAGGTATCAAGTTTACACCCTGGAGTTCTATGTTCTAGATCTCATTATGTCCATGTTTATTCATTTTTTGTCCCAAAACCTTGGTCTTATGGAGTATAGACTACTCCAGGACATTCGAGTTGTCCTTTTAGGCATTTAGGAGTGTATGAAGTCATAAAAATCAGATATTGAGGGTTGAGGTTCACCCATGCTTGAGTTGTTGGCCTTTTTATGTAGTTTTGGACCTAGGGTTTGGTATTGGGTCCTTTTTAGCCATGCAAGTTAGTAAAGTTGTTAACTTTATGGTTTAAGACCTTATTTAGTAGTAGATATGAGGTTTAGACGTTAAGGTCTTAAGGGATTAAGACCCTAGGTTAGATTTTGGGACTCTGGCCAGTACGTTGCGCGTACTGGATCAGCAGCCCGCTTCCGAGTCAATGTGCGTACGCGGGGCGTATGTGTTAAGTATTCGGGGGGTATGCCAGGCTGTGGGCCTCCTTTGATTTTGGGTCACTTTTGGGCTATAGGATTTTGGGCCTTGAATATCTTATGGACTTGGGCCATATTAGAGCCTTGAGTGCTACTTAGTTTGGGACATTTGAGGAAGGGTAAAATGGTCTTTTACCCTTGGAGTCGAGAATTGTGAATTAATTCTCGGTTATGGTTTATGACCTAAATATTAAGTAGGGAATTATTTGGTCATATTTAGTGCAGAGATTTTTGGATCAATAGTCCGAGCATTTACCTAAATTTTTAGCAGATCAAGGTGAGTCTCCTCCTAGTGATTGGCGGGTCAAAGGAACCAATGCCGACCCATGGATTATTGTTATTCGCATGCTAGTTGTTTGTGTGACTCTTGCATGTGTTGTATGTGTTTGTATGTATACAAACACATACAACACATGTTACTGACAGGGCCTGATGAGTATGTTGGGCGGGGCCCATCGCATGTTACTGACAAATCTGTATTGGGCGGGGCCCGATGAATACTGGGCGATGCTCGATGCCAGGCAGGGGCCTAATGAATGACGGAAAGGGCCCGATGTATTCTTGATATGTATGGTATGTGGTATTTTGGGGAACTCACTAAGCTTTGTGCTTACGATTTTCAGTTTATGTTTCAGGTACCTCCGGATCGAAGGGGAAGAGCTCGGGATGATTGCATTGCACACACCATGATTTTTATGCTTATTGACTCTGATGTACTTTTGGGATGTTATCTGGTTTACTCTGAATATTTTATGGTTTTGACAAACATGTTTGATTGATGGTTTATTTACTATAAAAAAACAAAAAAAATGGTTCTGAGTTTTGGGACGTTACAAGTTGGTATCAGAGCCTTGGTTTGAGGGATTCAGGCATACTCTCGGGTGTGCCTGAACTCAAACTGAGGATTTGGTAGATTTTTCATAAAAAATGATTAATTAAAGAATCCTTGAATAAAAGAAAAGGGTGTGGTGCATGCAATTAACCGAACTCAAGTAAGTTTTCTCAAAATACCCATACACGTTATTGTGATAAGCTTTGAATTGTGAATATATGATTCACATGCTAGACGGGGCCGCTACGGCAAGTGTGGCAAGACGCACGATAGGGCGT